TTGTTCCCTTCCCACACATTTTCCTTGCAGGGCCAAATCAGGCTATTGATTCAGCGAATCAGAGTTCTCCTCTCCCTTTACACTGTCCTATCTGCAGGGCTGACATTAGAAATCATGGGGCCCTGTACAGATTACCTTGAAGGTCCCCTTTGTGGACACCCAGAGGAGAATTTTGAGGTGGTGTGTTGTGGCAAAACTGCATTAACAGCGGGAGGGGATTAAAACTTAAACCTACATACAGAGTGCAGAGATCAGGTAATATGTAATGTACGGAGTGCAGGATGTAATGCATGTAGTACAATACTCATGAGTGGGTAAGGCACAGAATGCAGGGGTCAGGAATGTGTAATGTACAGAGTGTAGAGGTCAGGATTGTGTAACACACAGAGTGCAGAGATCAGGTAATATGTAATGTACAGAGTGCAGGGGTCAGGAGTGGTCTCTAAAGGGTCAGCACTTGCATACAGACCGCTTTGAGGCCTCTTTCACATGGATGGTCGGGGAACAGTAAAAACAGGCAGCTGAGCCTCTGGCCATCCACCTAAAGTCTAAAATACAGCTGAAGGAGGCTTTCACTTACTGTGGCCACAATGCTTTGCATACCAGCCGCAGAAAGTTTTCTAATGCTTGTCGAGTTGACTATCAAACTCACTTCCATTCAAGGCAATGGCCACAACGGCAAGCCAAACACTTGGCTTGTAGTTGTAGCATATCAGCACCATTGTAAACTGCCATTTGGCCTCCAGCCACACTCAGAAATGTGATACACCGCAGATTGCTTTTCAGAGCTTTGTTTAATTTGAACCAAGCCTAATAACAGTCATTGTACTGCCACCCATATTCTTGTCCTTGTAACATGGTGACAGTAAGCTAACACCTATACTGCACAGGTGTCAGGTTGCTGTCACCCTGATAAAAGTACAAGAATACAAGTAGCAATGAGTGCTATTCAAGGAGGACACAGACAATGAACTGTACAGGTACTTCAAGAAGCTCCCTGGTTTTCCTTCATTAGTTGCTCTTTCCTCCCTCCTCACCTTGATCATTGCAGGTGCTTGACTGCTTTCAGTTCAAGAGCTAGCAACCATGTTTATACTTCTTTCCGCATCACAACCGCTGCTCCATCTCACACTTGCATTAGACAGGAAGCCCACGGGATGAAGAATCTGCAGTGATGGACCAGTCAGTAGCTGAAGCTGTGTCATAAGTCCCTCCCTCCTGACATCACCCTGCACTCTTCCAAGTCTCGGCCTGCCACATAGTAAACTAACAGGCCAGGACAGCATGCATTAAAATATTGGAATGTGTAGCTTGCAGCTCCCACAGCTAAAAGATTACACTAGCCTAGCTGCCTTTGCTGTTGACAGATGCTCTGGGGGGGGTGTTGCACCCCCCTGACCCCTACTTATCTACGCCCCTGCCAGTATAAGACATATACAGACCTCTACTGCTAGGCAGGAAATGATTACATATTTACATTTTTTTTTACAGGTGGATTTGGTACGCACCTTCACATTCAGAAGCTCCAAGCAAACCTATACTGGGATCCCGATAATTGCAGCAAATATGGATACTGTAGGAACATTTGAGATGGCCAGGACACTGAGCAAGGTCAGCATCTGTCATCTGTTTATAAAGACTAAAAAATGGCTATGCATATGTTTAAGTCATTTAGCCAGCTCACGTAACCCAAATATTTGTGTAATACTATACGTATACCAGCAGTATATTTTACGGGCCTTACAAACAACCTATAGACTGTGGAAGGGTCAGTGAATTGCCTATTGTTTTTGAATATTGTTCACATCCCGAACAACATGGAAAATCTATCCAAAATTCAAGTTGTGTTTTTTGAATGTGATGTCTATAGGCAATACAGGAAGGCAGATCTAAAATGAAAAATAGACTCACCTCTATAAATACTCACCATCCATTCTGCAAGTATGAATGGTGAGTATTTTGGTAAGATCTGGAATCATTCTGCTGGTGAACATTGGGTGATTGAGTTCACAATATCAATCTTCTCCCCACCCCACTCAAGCTGCTTATTTACCAAAATAGGGAAGCTGCATATTGTTCACCTCTGGCTGATGTCCTCTTTACAACATTTCCAATCTTAAAAGCATTCCCATACAAGTTCAGTGGGAGTTCACTGTGCAGATGTGGCCCGCGGTAAAAAGGATGGAGGCTTCAAGTATCTCTAAAGGCAGAAAAAACAAAGAAAACCCAAACATGTAATACTTACCTGCTTTGTGCAATGTTTTTGCACAGAGCAGCCCTGATCCTCCTTTTTCGGGGGAACCCTGCCAGCACTCCTGGCCCCCCCCCTTTCCACGTGCCCCCATTGGAAGCCTCATGCTCACTCCCCAGTCAACTCTCTGTGTCTATTGACACACAGAGTGTGGCTCGGCCGCACCCCTACTCTCTCCTCCCTGTCTGTGATTGAGAGCAGCAGGAGCCAATGGCTCCTGCCTCTCTGTCTAGTGAGGGAGAGAGCAGAAAGAGCCACTGCTCTCAAGCACAGCGCTGGATCGAGATCAGGATCAGGTAAGTATAAGGGGAGCTGGGGGGAGCTGCATGCAAAAGGTTTTTACCTTAATCCAGAGAATGAATTCAGGTAAAAAAAAAAACCCTACTTTTAAAAACACTGTTTTAATACAGTTGGCAGTTGGAGGGGGGTGGGGTGAATGTTTAGGTTCAGCGGGAAAAGCAGGATTGGTAAGTGTACTTAAGTCTTTGGATCTTTCTTTACAGTATAATATGTATACAAGTGGTCACTTCAAGAGAAGACACTAATAACTTCTGAGAGATGTTTTAAACTTTCCTCATACTACTTAGGCCTCATGTACACTGCTGTTCCTAAATGCGCGTTTAGGAGTTTTTGACATTCGTTTGCCAAAGCCACGGAACTCAACTCAACAAAAGCCTATGTGTCTATGAACACATAGGCTTTTATCAAAGTTTAGCAGCAGCAGCGTTTGTGGGCAGTTAAACGTCCCTCTCCTGAATGCAGAAGACTTGCGTTCAGGAGAGAAACGCCAAATGCGGCAAAATGTGTGTAAACAAGCCTAAGTGCTAGCTGCACTTAATGCTTGGGCATTTATTCATTTCAATGGCAAGTAGTCTGGCCAATGAAATGAATAAATACCCATGCGCTAAACACAGTACGTTTCTATGCGTTTTTGCCGTGTTTAGCGGTTTTCTGCTGTCAGTAGAGTTAACGTCTATGGTAGTTCCAGTGTACACGTAGCCTTATAGTTTTACTAAATGTAATGCTTTGTATTCCAAAGAGAGAGAATTCTCACCACTTACTGAACCATTCAGCACTCTATTACTGGGACAGGAAGTGTGGGAAATCTCCCCAACAGATACACAGAAAGCAAAAAAAACTTGAAACAAGTCCGGTAGGGCTTACAAAATAAAATACAAGATATATAGTTGGATAAATATGAAATATTGCATATTAATATTTTGTCATTTCATATACAACCAGCAGGTGGATATTTAGGTTCCATGTTCCATTTTATAGCAACTTATTTTGCCCCTGATGTTAAAACCCCTGATGTTTACGGAGCACAAAGCTCAAGCTGAAATTGTTGTACACATGTGAATTATTGAAGTGACCCCTAATGCTATTCTTCCTAAACCCCCCCCCCAGCCCGTCCATGGTTTATTCAGAGTATGTTTAGAAGTAAACAACTTTTGATGTTCTGTTAAACTTTAAACTATTATCTATTCCCATAGGGAACCAAGTGCATGGTTGGACAGTTTCTCCCACTGTTTGACCACACTGCTAAAACAGAGACAGATTTGTAATTGAAAGCAGGGGTCTCTGGTAGCACTAAGGATGACAGGTGGAGGTGGTCACAGGCTGTGGTGTGTCTGAAAAAGAGAGGAAAAGCACCATACAATATCACAGAAAGCACTTTATATTTATTGGATGCATTTAATTTAATTTGCGGGGGCATTGTGATGAACTTGAAATACACTTTAGAGCAGCAGTCACTGACCAGTGGTCCATGGACCACTGATGGTCCACAAGAGAATTTTGGTGGTCTCTAGGGGTTCCACTGCAAATCAACATTGGGGTGGAAGTATACCACCCAATGTTGTTTCCAGTGTTGTTCTCAAAGCGTGCTGACTGAAAACTGAACTCAGAGGAAGACCCTGGGAGTAGTGCAGAGAGTGGGAGGTGAAGAAGGGGCTTCCAATGCCAGCGCTGATCACAGACTGTAGGAGGGAGCATGGAGCTTGAGCACATGGCTGGATAAGGAGGTAAGATCTAATGATGAGTCTGTGTAGCATGATGCAGAGTGAGGAAGGGGGGAGGGCAGAGGGGTGCAGAGAGCCGGAGCATTGTGTGTATAAGGCATGTAAAATCATGTTAGTGGCCAACAAGATTCAAAATTGTGAGTTTAGCAGTCCGTGAGGTCCAAAAGGTTGGCAACCACTGCCTTAGAGAACTGTGATTGATAAACACAATAATCAACTGTATTATGGCAATTTGATACTTAAATATGATTTCACATTGTTTATTGCATTTACAGTATGTATTTGAAATTATTTATTAATCTATTTATTTACTTTGCACAAATATTTAATTAACCACTTCAAGTCCGGACACTTTCACCCCCTTCCAGTCCAGGTCAATTTTCAGCTTTCAGTGCTATCACACTTTGAATGACAATTGCGCGGTCATGCAACACTGTACTCATATGAATTTTTTAGCATTTTTTTTAGACAGATAAAACTTTATTTTGGTGGAATTTATTCATCACTGGGATTTTTATTTCTTTGCTATATAAATGAAAAAGTCCAAACATTTAGAAAAAAAAGTGCTTTTCTTATAAAAGTTTGCAAATAAATAATCTTTCTTCATAAATCTTGGCCAAAATGTATTCCGCTATCTTTTTAGTAAAAAAAAAAAACAAATTAGTTTATATAACCAAAAATTATAATTTTTCAAAATTATTTTTACATTTTTATTTTATTTTGTTATATTATTATTAGAGATGAGCGAAGTATTCAAAAATTCGATTCGGCTGATTCGGCGAATTCGAGGAATAAATTCGATGCGAATATATTCTGCAGATGAGTGCCGCCGATCTTAGAATCACCGCACACTTCACTCATTTGGGCAGTCACGGGGCCAAAACCAGAGTGTGGAGCCACAGTGTGGGCGGTGGAGGCAGCAGCAATGGGAGGCCATACAGCACCCTATGACAAAAATGGAACCCACCAGCAGTGTGAGGAGACCTGAAAGTGGCACATGGCAGAGTGTGGCGATGGAGACAGCAGCAATGGGAGGCCGTACAGGAACCCATGAGACACTCTGGACCTGGCAGCAGCATGAGGAGGCGGTACGGGGGCCCATGGCAGATTACGGGCCTGGCAGCAGCAATGGGAGGCCCGTAATCTGCCAGCACCCTATGACAAAATGGAACCCACCAGCAGTGTGAGGAGACCTGAAAGTGGCACATGGCAGAGTGTGGCGATGGAGACAGCAGCAATGGGAGGCCGTACAGGGACCCATGAGAGACTCTGGACCTGGCAGCAGCATGAGGAGGCGGTACGGGGGCCCATGGCAAATTACGGGCCTGGCAGCAGCAATGGGAGGCCCGTAATCTGCCAGCACCCTATGACAAAATGGAACCCACCAACAGTGTAAGGAGACCTGAAAGTGGCACATGGCAGAGTCTGGCGATGAAGTCAGCAGCAATGGGAGGCCGTACAGGGACCCATGACACATTCTGGACCTGGCAGCAGCAAGAGGAGGCGGTACAGGGGCCCATGGCAGAGTGGCGAAGCGTAAGCAGCTTAAATTGAAGGCCATACAGAGGCCTATGTTAAAAATAATAACATGTTTGGGGCATGATTCATGGCGGATTTAGTCAGTTGTGTCAGGAACTGGTGGTTTGAAATCCAGACTAATCCACGCCTGATTCATTTTCACAAACGTGAGTCTCTCCACACTTTGGGTGGACAGTCGTGTCCTCCGCGGAGTTACAATACCTCCTGCCGCACTAAACACGCGCTCCAATGCCACGCTACTGGCCGGGAATGACAGCCTTTCAAGGGCAAATTCAGCTAGTTGGGGCCAAAGGTCAAGTTTCGTTGCCCAGTAGTCAAGGGGATTGTCTACCTCGGTTGGCAGGGTGCTGTCCAAGTAGGCCCGAGCCTGTTTGAGGTCCTGCTCCAGGTCCACCTGATGCTGCTGCTGCTGCGGCTGGTTAGTAGTTTCCTCACTGCGCTGGTGAAGAAAGCTACTCATCATCGAATGCAGACTGTGGCAGCCGCTGCTGGTGGAGCTGCCACTGCTCCTACCACCCCACCCCTCCCCTGCTGCCATGGCAGCGGAACGCGAGCGCACAGGGCCCACAGTGTCTGAGGATGGACGTTGGCGCAGAAAGGCAGAGACCAACTGACTACATAGGTGGTTTTTATAGTACGTTATTTTGGCCTCCCTCTCAGCAGGTGTGAAAAAGGCCACCATTTTTGAACGGTAGCGAGGGTCCAACAAAGTGGACAGCCAAAAGTCATCCCTCTGTCTGATGGTTATTATTCGGCTGTCGCTACGCAAGCAACCGAGCAGCATGCTATGGGCAATTTGTGCCAAGGAATGCGAGGGACTCCCTGCCTCCATCTCCACAGCATACTGCCACGGTGCGTCTGGGTCCTCTGTCTCCTCCTCTACCAGATGCTCCTGCTCCTCCACTCCTGTCCGCTGAGTGGAAAAACCACCCATTTCACTCAATAATTCCTGAGCACCAATGTCCTCCTCTACCTCCTCCTCTTCTTCCTGTCCTGCCCCCACAGGGGTCATGTGGCGTTGAGATCTGTGCGCCACGTCTACCGCAACCCTGACCAGCACATTGTTAACAGCATTTGTTCCAGGACGTGCAACAGAGGAATGACGTCGTTCATCCCATAGTCCTGCCGACTCACGAATAGCGTGGCCTCCTCAAAGGGCCTGAGCAAGCGGCAGGTGTCACGCATGAGCTGCCAATGGCTGACATCTAAGTTACACAGGGGAGTACCTTTATCCGCTTGTAACATCAGGAAATCGGTGATGGCCTTTCGCTGTTCGTAAAGGCGGTTAACATATGTAGGGTTGAATTCCACCTTGTTGCAACGTCACAGCATGAGGAGTCGGTACGGGGGCCCATGGCATATTACGGCCCTGGCAGCAGCAATGGGAGGCCCGTAATCTGCCAGCACCCTATGACAAAATGGAACACACCAGCAGTGTGAGGAGACCTGAAAGTGGCACATGGCAGAGTGTGGCGATGGAGACAGCAGCAATGGAGGCCGTACAGGGACCCATGAGAGACTCTGGACCTGGCAGCAGCATGAGGAGGCGGTACAGGGGCCCATGGCAGATTACGGGCCTGGCAGCAGCAATGGGAGGCCCGTAATCTGCCAGCACCCTATGACAAAATGGACAGCACCAGCAGTGTGAGGAGACCTGAAAGTGGCACATGGGCAGAGTGTGGGCGATGGGAAGACAGCAGCAATTGGGAAGGCCGTACAGGGACCCATGAAGACACTCTGACCTGGCAGCAGCAATGA